GCTCCCCGGCGCAGGAGCCTGACGTCTCCCTCCTGCTCATTTATTCAACACGTCAAATATTTGCCCTGCGCAGTTGCACCAGGCGTGTTATTTAGGTTGTTGGGTTTTTTTTTCTTTCCCCTTTCTGTCAGTGACAGCTTATAAAAAAAAACACCACAGTGCCATCTTGGGAAAACTGGCCTCCCAGCTACGCACGTTCGAGCATCCTTTTCCTCGCCTGCTTCAGCGACCGGCTCTGCTCCAAGCATCCCCTTTGTGGGGCTGGATGCCAAAACCCACCACCACAAGGGGCTGCGATGGGGAAAGGTCATTTCAGACCCATTTCCAGCCTGGAAACAGGGCAGTGGCCCTGCTTGTCCCTCCTGTCCCCTGCTCTGTCAAAGCATCCTGCCTGGATGCAGCAGGAGCAGAGGGCAGCCAAGAAAAACTGCTCCATTTTGCCTCCCTTTGGCAAGGAAGCAGCTTTTCTGGCTGCCAGCCCCACTGTAATCCCCTGGGGACCTCAATATTTTCTCTTTTTTGGTACCACATCCCTCGATTTCTTATCTGTAGGGCTCCTTACACCCTGAATGCCCAGTCCCCAGGGAGGAGGAGGTGTTCACCAATATTAAAGGCTGGAGAAGGTGCCCTTGTGCGGAGGTGTCCCCAGAGCCCCCACATCCCCCCCAGGGTTTCACTCCCATGGCTGCAGCTGAAAACATCCCATTTCTCTGGGGAACTGCAGGAATGGCTCATAAAACACAAACTTTGGGGTGCTGCTGAGCAGAAAGGATAAACACAGCATGCTGCAGGGAAAAAACATGCATCCACCCTATTTGTAAGAGGAAAAATCACCCTTCAATCTCAGCTTGCATTCCCAGCTGGGATAGACACTCAGCTGTTTTGGGTGTTTGATTTTCCCAGGATCAGGGCTGGGATTTCTTGCTGGGGGGAGCTCCTGAGCCCGCTCCCACCTCCCAGTCCATCCCAGGCTCTGTGTGCATCCTCCTCCCCAGGGCAAGCCACAATGTGTGGAAAAGCCCCAGGGCTGGAATAAACCTGCAAAGAGCTTTCGCTGCACTGACAAAAATAGCAGCGGGAGCAGCGGTGCCGTAGCTGATGCTTGCGGAGGGGGAAGTTAGGCTGAGCTCAATACCCTTTGAGGAACCAGAAGTGAAAAATCAGGGCTTGGGTAAAAGCCTGGTGAAAATAATTTGGCCAAGACACCACCACGCACCTCCCTGGACAGCCAAGGAGCCACAGAGACCTTGCCTGAACACGGCGTTCTGGGTTGAAAGTGCAGAGTGAAAGGATGTGACTCACATCTGGGATGCGTCCGCGAAGGACAGATGTGTTTTGTTACTGTCCGTGACCCTATCCACAGCTTTGTCTGTGCATGCAGTGACTCAGTCTTGCCCTCCAGCCCTTTCCAGAGAGGGCATCGCTTCCCAGCAGCATCCCTGTGCTGCCGTAAAACAGATTTGGGAAGTTCAGGCTCCTTACAAGGAGAAAATAAAATAAAATAATGTTTCTCTATGGGAGTCTTTCCATTTCAATTGTAAGTCATTCGGAGAAAGATAAAATCAAATGCTTTAGTGGTGAGGTCCATCTAAGTTGGGAGACTTAAAAGTCAAATATCCCCCCCATCCCAAAGGACAGACACTGATGAGTCCCCTGGGTTTTCTTAGACACCACAGGAAAAGAGGAAATATCTCCTGGACATACTCTGTGTCTGGAGAGAGAAATAAGGGGATTTCAACCAGTCTCTGTCCTGCAATCCCTAGGAAATTCAGCAGCATTTGGTGGAGAGAGCCCCAAAGCACTGGGGTGAGGCTGAGACACCCCATATTAGACATCAGAGAATCTGGAGAGGGGAGCGCTGCAGCTTGGTATATCACTGCTGTGGGTCTCCTGCACAACCCAGCCCCGAACCTCAATGTCCCACCCTCATTACCCCCCCAAAACAGCCTTTTTCACCCTCACCTTCATTATTTCTCCTCCACTGTGGCCAGGCACTGAGGGACATGGTGGGCAATGACCAGGGACCCCTGCCAAAAAATCAACTCCTGCTCTGCGCAGAAACCCCCCCTTCCCACCAGTGGTTTTTTTCGATGGGAAAGCAGATGGGGCCACATCTATCAGGAATTTTTCCCGGGCGCATCCTCCTTGAAAGGTACCAACACCCCCGTATTTTGCTTAAACGCCCATGTGCGATGGCCGGGCCAAGCGCTGCCTGACCCCGGGGCCAGAAAGCCGGGAGCCAGCCGTGCAGTTCGCTTGGCAGACACTTGATGGGGCTAAGAAACCGATTACCGGCACACCTGGCAGAATCGAGGGGGCCAAACAGCCCCTGCCAGATGTTTTGGGGTCCCGCTTTGCAGTACTGGGCTGGTGTCGCGGTAGCTGCCAGGACCCGGTGCTTGGCAGCATCGTTTTGGCTTTCGGTCTCATCCTGGCAGTGCTGCGGATTGCCAACACCCAGATAAAGCTTTACCCTCCAAAGATTTCCTGTAATCTGCTTTGAGAAGCGATCCAAAGGGCAAAGTGCCTTGCAAAGCACCTGTTAAGTTTGATGCTGGTGCTGCAAAAACGAGGTGACCTTGGTACCTCCCAAAACCCAGGCTCTTTGCCCACCACAACAGCCTGCATCAGTGGGATTTTACCCATATTTCATCCCAAAATAAGGGGAGATGTGGTCCCGAAGCAGAGCACAATAAAAGGCACAGCCCTGCATTGCGGAGCCGGCTGTGGGCAAGGACCAGCCCCAAAATTCCCCCAAAAGATGCTGTCAAACTTTCTGGCACGGCTCTAAATTCAGCAGCCCTTGCCTGGCTCCAGCTGGCCAAGCAAGCTGGCCATAGCACGAGAGCGGATAGGGAGAGTCAAAGCCTCTCCTGCTCCAGAGAAATAATAAAAAAATAAGCCTAAGAGACGGTGTCCATAAATCCTGAGCTAGTTACTGATGGCGAGGACTCCCCTCCCTCTCGCTCTGCACGCTGCCACACAAATTATGGCCCCAAACGTTGCTGTTGTTCGGTGATGAACATCTGAAAAGGCTGTGACAGACGAGCAAAGGGATGATTTAACAGCCATAAATCCAGCCAGCTTAGAGGTGTTTTTACAACCAAACCCATCTTGAATCCCCTCCGTTATGAATACTTATCACTCCCCGACACTGCTACAATGGGAAGATTTTAAACAGCTTTAATAGAAACGCAATAAAACCCCCAGAGCCCAGCAAGAAAATGTCCTTTTTATCCCTCGAGGGAGGGAAGAGGGGGCTGAGAGGCTCAGATCTGGAGCAGTCACCAGGCCCCTACCAATCCCTGGGTGCGATGGATGGGTGGCATCATCCACAAACTGGATTAGCTTTCCTAAAGCTGTTGTGTGGACGGTGTAATTAATACCCCACAGGGAGGGAGGGAGGGGGACAGCACCTTCTACTTCTTCTTCCTCCTCCTCTTCTTCCTCCCATACTGCTCTTACCTTTGCCAGGGTCTTCCCGCAAGGACCCAAATCTCATCAGGGCTAACCCACCTTTGGGGATTTAAAATGAGGGTGGGCCCAGCTCTACCAAAGACCCTTCTGGGTTGGGTGCCACCCCTCAGCTCCCCTTGTCACACTTGTCCTCCCCTTGTCCCCTTTAATGCACATTTGTCATAGATTAAGGGTTAAATGGGCTCAACGACCACCACCCAAAGGACAGGATGGGGACACCAGGCCTCCCATCTCAGTATTAAGTGGCCTAGAATCTCACTGTCTCTTGCTGTGGCCTCATGGTGAACTTGTGGAGCGCTCCGAGGAGGGTAATTAAATAAAAGAAAGAGCAGGGCAAGCTCCTTCCTAAGAGAAATGTGGCTGTGAAATGCTGCTCTTGGGCTATCAAGAGAGAAACCAGCGCTCAGCTTGGCCATAGAGACCGGAGGGGATGCGGTCTCTGAAGCCTGGGTTGAGATGACGCTCCCAGCACATTAATCTAAGGGAACATCTTTTTTTTTTTAATAAGATAATACTGAGTAATTGATTTTTAAATACACTGAAATCAAATGTCCCGAGGCCAGAGCAGGATCCCAGCTCTCCCGTCAGACTGCGACGGGCAGAGATTGAGCGCGTGGGGGAAAAGAAAATAAAAATTAAATCTCCTTTGTGTGCCTCGCTGGCTGCGGGGCAGAAGATAATGTTTCTTTAAAAGGTGCATCAATTTTTCCTTATTAAAAAAATGGGTCATCAAAAGGGAGAAGCTTGGGGGGGGGGGACTGAGATGGGGAAGGCACCGGGGACCATTGAGGCTGATCCATCTGATCCAAACACACAACAGAAACTAATTTTTAAGAGAATTTATTCCAATCTCTCTTTCTCTCTCACACCACCCTTCACCCAGTCCCAAGTGGGAAGGTTTTATGGACTTATTTTTTTTTGTTAATTTTATTTTATTTTAGAAAAATACACATGCAAATAATATATATTCCACCGCTAAACATTTTTTTTTCCTCTCATGTTTGAAAAAAAATTAATAATAATAAAGAAACAAAGCAGGATTCGGGAAAGACCCGAATGGAGACAGACCTGGGGATGGGATGCTCCAGGATGCAGGTTGGAGCAAATCCTTTCCATCAGGAAAGCATTCGTTGCCTGTGCCCAGTGCCTCAGTATGGAGGGAACTGGTCAAACTGGAGGCAGTCTCGGCTGCTCTCCTCTTTTTGCTTTTCTCTTTAACTGACAAAACACGCTTTTGGGCCTCTCGACTCCGAAAACAGATGCGGGAGGGTCTGGCGAAGGGAGCGGAGGGCGCTGTTTGGCTCCTATTTCTATTTTCCTATTTATTTCAGGCTGTACTGGCATGGCTCTAAAGTTTGGTAGATGATCATGCAGGTTTTATTGCAGCTTGTATGTGTGATTTGTTGGGGTTTTTTTTTTTTAAGTAGCCCAGCTTCAGTTTCAGGTAGCCCCGGAGGTGGGTTCCTCTCCGCTCCCCCCTGCTCTGGCCAGCATCTCCCTGCCGCAGCTTGCCGGCCAGGCAGCTACTCGGTGGCCATCTGCTCGATGTGGTCGCTGAGCAGCTTGTATTGCTCTGCAGAGAGAGAAAAAGGTCCTGGAAGGGTGCTGAAGCATCCTGGCCAAGCAGGCAGGCTCCATCCCACCAGGATGGGGTATGCACCCCTCCAGGGTCACCCCTACCTTCATCCAAATTGCCGATGGTCGCCTGCTTCTTCAGGAAGTCGCTGCAGAGCTTCTTGTTGAGGCCGAAGGCCAGCATGTTGTGAATGAAGGTGCTGAGGAAGGACAGAGATGCTCGTGGTGAGGGAAAAGCCAGGATCTTGCTTTCTCCCACCCTCCTCTTCCTCCCCACATCCTGGGTACCAGGACGATGCTCGGCTGTGGGAGAGCATGCGAGGTCCTGGATTTGCAATGCAGGGGGTCCCAGGGAGAAGCATTGAGCATCCTCTGCACCATATGGGATGTCCCCAGTGAAGGACCATCATAAGGTGTCCCCCCCTCAGCAGGGGACCATCATAAGATGTCCCCACCCCATGCTGGTGGGGTCCCCCTGCCCCGCTCACCCCAGCTGCCCGAAGGTGATGTTCTCGTTGAAGCGCAGGCTGTCGTCGCGCTCCTCCTGCGTCATGTGGCACCACTTCTCCCTGCAAGGCACGAGCCCATCTGGCACCACTGTCACCCCAGGGACCCCCCTGCCTGTGTCCCCGCCACTCCAATCCCCAGGAGGGCACCCAGAGCCCACCCACGGGCGATGCTGGATGAGCTCCACGCCTGCATCCATCAGAGATCTCATACCCTGGGGCAAAGCAAGAGATGCTCCAGGAAAAAAGTCTTCTCCAGCCTTGGCTTTCTCCTAAAGGCCTTGGGTCTCACCTGCAGCGCCATCACTTCGGCAAGGGGGGGTGCAGCAAGGATCCATGGGGGATTTCAGCTCTTGGGATTTGCCATCCCCCCCAAAACTGGGTGGGTACCACGGGGGTACCAGGTACCTCTCCCCCATGTGCAGCAGAGTGCCGAGCAAGCTGTGCCCCAAACATAACCTCCCCCAATCCAACAGCGTGGGGGGCTCCCGTACCCTTCCCCACGGCTAAAATCACAGCGCTGAGGATGCTCCGACTCCGCTTCGGCTCCCCACCAAATGCAACCGCAGCGTGGCCTTAAAGGAAGGGGTTTTAAGCTCTAGATGTTTGCAACCAACATGTGCAGCAGAGTGCCGAGCAAGCTGTGCCCCAAACATAACCTCCCCCAATCCAACAGCGTGGGGGGCTCCCGTACCCTTCCCCACGGCTAAAATCACAGCGCTGAGGATGCTCCGACTCCGCTTCGGCTCCCCACCAAATGCAACCGCAGCGTGGCCTTAAAGGAAGGGGTTTTAAGCTCTAGATGTTTGCAACCAACCCTAAGCAGTGGTGGGGGTCCTCACCAGGTTGTCCCACCTGGAGGGCATCGGGGACAAAGCCCATGTCACAGCCATGTCCCCAGTGCAATGCTCAGGGGGTGGCAGGGGGGCTCAGTGCATGCACGCCAAGGAAACTACAGCTCCAGGGTGAAGCCACCCCCCTCCCAAAAAAGAAATCAGGTGAGGTTACAGCCAAGGATGAGAGGAGGAAAAGCAAGGAAAAACAGGGATAGGTAGAAGAAAAAGCAGCTTTATGGAGGAGAAGGAAGAGGAGAACACCAGGAACAGGATGTGTGCTTGTAGCACCAAGCGGGATGGGAGGAAATGGGGGCTGAGATGAAGGGTGTCTGGTGGGAAATTTGGGGGGGGACAGCACAGCCCCAGGGCAGGTTTGTGATGCTGGAAGTGGAAAAAGGGGAGCGCTCGATTGGGCTGACCCCATGGAGCAGAACCCGTCCTCCCACGAGTCAGCCTGGGCACACCAAAGCTGCTTGTATTTATAGGGCTCTGGAAATTTATAGGATACATTTAAAAGGATTTTTTTTTAATTTAAAAAAAAAGGTGTAATTTCTCCCAGATAAAGCTCACGATAGCAAATAAAAACCACATCCAAATCTGGAAAAGAAAGGAGAAGCAGCAAATTAAGAGGCTTTGAAATCGGGAAGCAAAACTTCACAGATCTCACCAGCCCATTACAGAAGAAATGTGTTTGTAACAAATTTTTTTTCCTGTCTTTTTATGTTTTTGAGGGAGAAAAAAACAAAACAACCCATTATCAAAGTGCCCAAGAAGAATTCGCAGTGTTTCTGGCTTAGTAACGTGCCTGGGAAGGGGAAAAGCCCACATGTGGCTCCACTCAAACCCTTTCATCTTTACACTGGGGCAAGCACAGGGTTTGTAACCCCATGGGCTGTGCCAACACCTCACCAGTATTTCAGCATACCCAGGAAAGCCTCTGATGAGAATTGGGGAGATCGGCTTGGATCGCTCATTTTTTGGCATGGATGTGGCCAGTTTTGAGCTTTGCAGCCCTGGGGCCACGGTGGCAATCGTGACATGCAGCCCCCGGTTGCGTTTTTAATTTATATCCAGGGATGGCAGCACAACTGTGCATTAAAAGTCATAAATATAAGGCGCAGCTTTTCCAGCTGGCAAAGGATCCCCAGCACCTCTGTGCGGCAGCAGAAGGCAGGAGGCAAGCGGGGAGGATGGGGATGGGGGGGATGCTTTCACCACGAACAGACTCAGTTCATGTCCAAAACCTGCCCAGGGGACCCATCCCAATGCAAGCCCTCGGCTTCCCCAGTAAAATATCACAGCTGGAAACCAGTCTCTTTTAAAAAAAATCCTCATTAAAGAGGAACTTATCTCAACCTTTCCGGCCCTTTTGATGCAGATGAAGCCAAACCTTCAGCAGCCTCTGGTGGAGAGGGGCCTCTCAGACCCCTCCAAAAACCATGTTATCCCCCTCCCCAGGGCAGGATTTGGACCTGAAGCGAGCGCCGGCCTCTGGACACTAAAGCACCGGAGTACGGGGACAGACACACCTCTTCTCCTCTTCCTCCCCAGTGTTCCCTCTGGAGCGGCAGCAGAAACGGGGCCGACAAAAGTGGCGCGTGAAACGGTCATGCAAGACAGAGGGATGGAGGGGAAAGGAGAGAAGAAGAGATGGAGAAGGTTGTTAGAGGCAGAGAGAGAGGAAAGAGAGAGAAAAAGAGGAGTTTAGTTCTGGTCCCTTCCCCCCATTCCCTCCTGTCCCCCCAACCGAGAGGAGATTAAACCCCCTCAGCTCTGCCTGCAGCCCCATGGGGACCCCAACGATGCCCTGGCCACCCCATGGAGATGGGCACGGTCACAACCCCATCACTGTGAACCCTCCAGACCATGACCAAGCACTGTCCCTGGTCAACGCCCAGGGAACGCCAGCCCTCACCAACCAGCTCCTGCCAGGGCTTTGAATCCCAAACCAGCAGCATCCCAGTGCACCCAGTGGGCTCCGTTATCCTCTCCAGAGGACTAAAAGTGGGGGTCACCACCACCTCCCAACCCCCCTGGGATACTCAGGGCACTCCAGGCTGCAGGTCCCAGAGCGCGTTCGTTAGCGGGGCTCGTTTGTGCAGGCTCAGCCATCAGATTAATTGAGAAAGGCACTGGGAGCAGAGAGCAGCTGCCCCGTGGCGTATGTCCTTGTGAGACATTTGCTGCTGCTAATTTGGGGCTTAATCAAAGCAAATGCAGTTACGGTTACATTACTGTTCAATAGGCTCTGTCGGCAGCTTGCTTGGAAAAAAAAAGAAGAAGAAAAGCAATAAAGGAGAAAGCAGAGATTGATCGGAGCTTGGCAGAGCATCCCGTGGTATGAGCCAGGGCTGCTGTGGCTTCGCTCAGGTTTTAGGGGGGGTGTAGGAGGGTTGGATGCTTCAAGAGGGGCCATCACTGCTCATAAAGGGATGTTCAGATGCTCTGAGCACCCCAAAACACCTCAAAGCACCACATGGGCATGTAGCAGGAGAAGGGAAAACTGATTGAGAGGGGAGGGAATTGCTCTCCCTTGTGGGGGAGAAAGAGATGGGCATGACGCCAGTGAGCATCTCACCCCATGGGGTGCCCATGCCCAGGCACCCAGCCGCTCCCTGCACACAGCCACCCCCCAAAATGAGCAGCCTCTTCCCTTTGCAGGGTTTATCCCCATCCTCCCAGCCCTCGGGGTTGACCACGCTGCCATCTCCAGCTTTCGCCCTTGCTTGCTGCCCGGGTCTGTCCCCATAGCCCTCCAGGGCATCCCCTCCCCATCCGCTGCACCTCCCAGGAGGCAAAAACTCCCAGATTTGCTCACAAACAAAGCACCAACAGCTTAAACCCTGGCTGGGTCTTCTGGACACCCTTCTAGGGCTTGCAAAAATGATGCAAAATGAGCAAGAGAACCTTCCTGTTCCCAAATCCCTAAGAGGATGCACATCCATTTCCTGCTCCCAAATTACTAAGAGGATGCACATCACCTTCTTGCTCCCAAATCCCCAAGAGGATGCACATCCATTTCCTGCTCCCAAATCCCCAAGAGGATGAACATCACCTTCTTGCTCCCAAATCCCCAAGAGGATGCAGATCTACCCGGCCAAGGAAAGGGATTATTTCCCAACCCACCCCACATCCCAGTGGTCCCCACAGCTTTGCTATCAGGGTGGACACCAGAGCGTTTTCCTGTGGTCAGTAACATTTAGGGCCATGGGAGCAGAGGGGATGCTGTGGGGCTGGAGGGGACACGGTGTCTCCTCCTCCCATGGGGACACGTCCTACCTGGTGGTTGGGGACCGCTTCCTGCGCTCGCAGTGCACGGCGTCGAAGAAGGCGGCGTTCCAAAACCGCAGGTTGTGCCTGTGGGGAGGGACAGAGGGAGGTGTTGGGGATGACCACCCCCCGTCTCCCCCAGCTTCTCCCCAAGTCCTCCCAGGGCCAAGCTCAGCCGCTTCCCAGGGGCCAGGAGATGACTCAAGGAGGGGGCTACGCAAATCTGGCAGATTCGGCCCATTTTTGGGCCAGCTCCTTGTATGTCTGCAAACATCCTCTCGCTAGCACAAGGGATGCAGACGCCCTGGCCACCTCTTTTAGGGGAGGTAGCAGCTTAAAAGTGCTCATGGAAGCCTGGGAAAGGTGTGGGCAAAGAGGACAAATCTCCAGGCAGGCTTTACCAGATGGGCTGCTGCTTGAGGTGCATGTAGAGGTAGACCTTCTCTCCTTTCTTCTCCTCCTCCGGGCTCTGCACAGAAACTGTGGGGACACACGGTTACGTGATGAGGTCTGCATGACTCCCACCTTCCCACCATGCCCAGACTTTGTGCCCTGCTGCTTGGCAAGGTTTGCAAACCAAAGACTCATCCCCAGCAATGGGAAGAGGAGCTTTGGTTGCCCTTTGTGAGCAGGTATTGGCTCTGATTGAGGCATGGATGTCCCAGGAGGATGGGACATGCAGGAGGATGCTCGAGGGACTGAACCACTGGCTCGGCAGCGCACACAGCTCCTAGGGGGGTGGCTGGAGCAGCACAAAAGCTCAGAGGCAGTGGATGCCCAAACCTCTGCAGCCTGGTGCCATGAGAAGTTCTTGTAGGACAGGAGCTGTGATTGCTCTGAAGCAAAGAGCTGGGAAGGCTCCTTTGGGGCACTTCTCTAGGAGCTCAGAGGAGACAGCACCATTCTGCCCTTCTCCTCACCCCACACCTCAGACCACTTCCAACCCTCTCTCCTTCCCCAGGGATGCTTTGGCCATGCCTACTCCAGCCACGCTGGCTCCACTCACCCGTCTTCTTCAGCTTCTCCTTTGGTTTGTCCTCACCTTCGCTGTGACACAGAAATGAGTGTCAGTCCGTCCCCCTGACATCCCCTATAGCAAAACCCTGTTCCCCTTGGCAAGGGGAGCCCCGACATTTGAAAGACCCCTTCTTCCCATGCCACTGTCCCCAGGGCCAGAAAGGTGGCTTAGAGGCTGTGACACCCACCCCAGCACAAAGCTGATGCAGAAGACCACAAAGTAGCAGCGCTGTCTCCCTTAACCACATGGCCAAGAGACATGGGACTCCCAAACCATGAGGTGCCCCATGACCAAAGTACGAAGCATGGGAGCAGGCTAGAAGACCATCTTCTCATGGCCATAATAACCCCTGGCTCATGGTGGCCCTACACACAGGAGCCTTCTGGCTTGGTCACCTTATGCCCACCCAACAGAGCAGTACTCACTCGCTCTTTTTGGTGGCAGGACCCTTCAGTTTGGTCTCCAGGCCTCCAAAAAAGCCCTTGACGTTCTCCGTCTTGGCAGATGTGTTCTTCAGCAGCCGCTCAGCGATGTCCTTCTTCTCCGCCAGCCAGCTGTTGGCTGACTTCAGGTACGAGTCGATGCTGCCCACCGGCTTCTCCTTGGCCTCCAAGGGCAACGTGTGGGCCTTGCCTGCGGGCAAATTGTGGCCCCATGCTGCTCATTTGGCCCCATGGGTGCTGGCAGCTTTTAGGGACCTGCTCCCAGCTACAGGATGCACCATGGAGACCAGGAGCCAGATGGAAACAACCCCTCCTCCCATCCCAATTGCTGTAGGTCATTATCCTCCCCCTGTTTTGGATAGAAAATCCAGGCCCCTATGGAGGGGTGACGATCACACATCAAGCAATGAGCCAAGGTGCTTCCAGGCTGGGGGTTTCACATTTGGGAACATCTGGGGATTGCCACATACAAATATCTCTGGCCAAAAGCAACAGCAAACCAGCATCAGCATGAACCACCACTGTCTCCAGTGGGTTTGCACAACTCCTGAGCCATGGAGGCTCTTTTCTACTCAATATCAGAGTTAACCAGAGCAAGACAAGTTTGGGTACCCATCCCTCATGCTCAGAGCACGCTTCACCATCGGTCTCCAGAACAAGCAAAGCTCCAGACACCTCTTACCCTCGTAGTAGTAGGTGAAACACATGGTCATGAGGTTCTTGGCAGGGCTGAAGTCATCCATCTGGTGACACCTGAAACAGAGGGGACACCCATCAATGCCAACCGCAGCAGCCTCCTGGTTGCTGCCATTCCCCAAGCCATGGGTCTGATCTCAGGGGCTTTTGGTGGTCACAACCAAACCCCAAAAATTCCCCAACTTACTCAAAGAGCACGAGGGCAAACGACTGCACCAGGCGGTAGAAGGTCTGCTCCGAGACGCACTTGGAGTTGCAGCGCTGCAGGGACAAAGCCCAGGGTTCAGCACAGCTCTGCAGGGTGGCTGGGGGAACCTCAACCCACCCCGGTTTGCCTCTCTGAATTGCTTTTTATTTAGGGAATTGGATGTTTCTGAGTGCGGATGGCATTTCATTTTAAATAAATCAGATGGCTGCTCTCCCACATCACAACAAGCACGCATTTAACTGCCTCAAAATGCATTTATTCACTTCTGCATCTTCCTTTCCCTGACTTCCTCCAAAAATATTGCTCTGGGGTATTGCCAAATTCCCCTGGCCTGAGCCTCCTGCCCAGGCTGCTCCACAGCCCTGGTACAGGGATCACCACCGCCCCATAGCCCATCTCTCCCCTTACCTGGGCGCTCACGTATCTCGCAAACCATTCCCTGCCCTTCCCGTTCTCACCGCTGCAGAGCTCCCCAAACCTGGCCTTCTCTTCTTGGTCCAAATCCTCCCTGAAATGGGGAAATATAGAAAAAAAAACCAAAACAAAACACCATCTATTTTGCTCCCTGGCAGGGGGGGAAAGCGAGGGCAGAGGGAGAAGGGAAAAGCCAAGGCCAGCCTGAGGAGAAGCTGAGCTCCAGAGACAGGCTCTGTGCCCCAGAGCCAAAACAGCCCCTGTCCCTGCTCGTCACGCTCCGTTTGCTCGATCCCGCTTGACGCGCTAAGCCTTCGCCTCACCGAAACCACAGCGATGGGGGGGATGCAGGGCTGGGGGGGGGCAGAGCCTTGGGGCAAGCACAGGCTGCTGGCATCGGTACAAGTGGCAGCGGAGATGCCCGACGGGAGCTGGAGACCCCCAGCACAATGAGAAGGGGGGAAATAAGAGGGGAGGGGAGGTGGGGGGGGTGAATGATGAGCTGGGATGTGCCCAAAAGAGCAGTGCACATCATATCCTGCATCTGATGCTGTTACAGCCAGGAGAAAGACACAGGGAAGGACACAAACTGATGCTCCCGGAGTGGGAAAAGCAGCCGGATCCCATCCCATGGGATGTCCCCTGCTCGCTCACCCCCCAGTGAAGATCTTCTCCACGTAATGCCGCATGAAGTCCCGGCGCTCGGCCGTGGCCTCATCCCGCGCCGACTCGGTGCTCTGGCTGGAGGAGAAGGACTCGTTGGAGGAGGGGGGGCGGGAGCTCGGGAGAGTCGCCCATGTCGTTCTCGCTGTCCGCCGACTCGGTGGCATCGCTCTCCTCCCCAGCCGTGTCCCCTGTGTCCCCCAAGTGCCCATTGCCGCTGGGGGCAGCGGAGGGAGAGGGCTCCGAGGGGATGCAGGTGGGTGTTTCGGCGTCGAAGTCAATGAGGTTCCCTATGGGAACATCCAAGGGGGCCTCCATGGCTGTCCCAGGGGATGTGGCAGTGTTGGGGGGACTCGGTCCTTGTCCTGTCACCGCTCACTGGGGCGTCGGGGCCATCGCTGGTGGGATGGGGACGAGGGGCTGGCTAAGGCAGGCAGGTCCTTCTGCAGGGTGCTTGGCTATCACAGGACATCTGAAAGACAGAGGGGACAAGGGTGAGGAGAGGACCCCAGGGAACCGCCACCATGGACACCATAGGCCACCACCTACAAAGTCCCCAAGGTGGCCACCAGCAGTGGAGAGGGACAGGGACACACGGGGCAGAGCTGGCTGCTCTCCGTCAGCCACGGCAATAAGCAAACCCACGCAGTGCTCCTGTGCTTTCTGCACTGTCCAAGCGGATTTTCCATCCTTTAGGGTAGGAAAAGAGACAATTTGAGCCCAAGATCCATCTGCCACATTTGGGATGTGACATCTCGCAGCCTGACGGGCAAAACAGGGCTGGAGTGAGCCAGCAGCTGGCAAACACACTGGTGATTTTCCCGCAAAAGCATCCTCCTCTCGGGTCTGCCTGACCCCATTGGGAAATGGGACCATCTCTGGGATGGAGCATCCCAGTGTTTAACCAGCTTGGTTAAACTGGGAATGGGAAGGAGGTGCTGAATGCAACAGAAACCCAGCAGCGCAGCCCTGCTGCCTTCCAGGGAAGTGACCCCAGGACATAGAAAACCATCCCCAGAGCTAAAAAACCCCCAGATTTCTTTCAGCTCAAAGACTCACAAACCCTAAAGGACCAATGTCCAATCCACCCATCAAAAAGGAGTTGGAAATGAAATTACATCTCAATTTTTCCAGGCAGAACACATATCCCAGCTCAGGGCTGAGACGATCCGGCTGCAGCTCTCCCAGCAGTGCCCTCCTTCTCCTCAGGGCCCTTTTGGGGTGCTGGGACCCACAGGACCAAGGGGGAGGCACAAAGCTGCACCCTCCCAGCTCAGCAGCCTCCTTGGGAAAAGCCCTCATCACCTTGGTCCTCACTGCAGGAAAACCTCCTAGGGGACAGAAACCCATGAACCCAACACCAACCGGTTGCCGCCCCACTGTGCTGGCACCCTGCTCCCCCATCCAGCACCAAACCCCGCTCTTGCTCCCCTCATGGTGATGTGCCCATGGGGACCCATGAGGATGCACCTCATGGATGACCCTAAGGCAGCTGTAAAACCCCTTTCTGCAGGGGGGGAGCAGGGACCTCCTCCGCCAGCACCCCCAGGTTTGGGCTCAGAGCTGTCTCCTCCCTCCCGACCATCCCAAATTGTGTTTTAATGGGATGCAGGCCGGGATGCATGCAAAGGACCTTCACACAGTCACACTTTGCAGCGTGTGCCTCCCTCCCTGAGCCGTACCTTGCTTTTCCCCCCTGCTCAGCATTTGGGAGCGTACCTGGAAGCAGCAGACGGCGGATCTGCAAACCGAGCTGTCACAGCTTTTTTGAGGTTATTTTTCTCAATTCAGCACTTAACAGCAGGGAGTTGGTGGGGACAACAAATCCTCCTGCCCAGCTCACAGCCACTGCATGGACGTGACACCCAAAAACATCCCATGCAAAGGACCTGGTGCAGGTACCCTGTGAGCGTGTGATGGCCCCAAATGTCCCCTTTCCTGTGCAGCTTGTAAAGAAATCCCTCTACCAGATGGGCATCTTTATAACTAACTACCCCAATCAGGATTGCTCCCAGTAAGTGACTCACAGACCAGTACTTTGCAAACTGGGGTGGCACAGCCCGTCCCAGAGCTGGTGATCAGTCCCTTCTCGTGTACACCCACCCACCCCATGCATGGAAAGCTTTGCAGGAGCTGCTTGGGAGTAAGAAACAGCCAAGATTAGAGAATTCCGGCTTTAAAAAACAAATATAAATGAAGATGCATTGCTCAGGCGTTAGCTCTGGCTCTGGGCCACAAGTTCCCTGAAACTTGGGGGAAAACCTGTTTTTACTAATAAGAAATGCTGAGGTAGATCTTAGTGAGGCACTTAGAGATGCACATACCCATGCAAGCAGCTTTTGTCCATGATCTGCCTTTAAATCCAGCATTTCTGGCCTAGCCCAACGAGGGAACTGCCCAATTTTGCTGCTTCCTCATCCTGCATGAACCCCTGTGAGGTCCCAGCTCCCTAAGAAGGGGACAAAACCTGCTGGCCTCTGCTACGGGGTGTCCTGGTATGCCCCATCAGGTAAACCAGTGTTTTCCAGGCATTTCAGGATGAGATGCTTTCTCCCAGCATCCTTAAACCCTGCATGAAGTTTCCCCGTGGGGCCTTTTGCAGGATGCTGAGGTCGGGGTACGCTGCAGGACCACAGCCGTTCACACTGGGGAAGCGGGATCCAACCCCAGTTTGCTGCGATGGAAATCCCAGTGGGAAGCGGGATTCAGCCAGTCTGTGGCCCAGCTCTTCCAGCAAGCCCCATCCCTGGAGCTGGGTGACAAACTCGGCTAATCCCTGTTATCAGCTCAGGCCGTGGGTGGCATCCTGCATCCTGCTCGCATCTGTGTCCTACACCGAGACCCCGCTCCAGCCGGGAGCTGTCAAGGGTGATTAAAAACTGTAATTAAGCCACAGAAACCTCCGACTGTCTCAGCTGCCAGAGCACATCCCTCCAGTCCTGCTGCTCCCTGGCTGCTGGGATGGCACCCAGACACGTAGTGCAGGGGAGCTGGGGTCACGCAGCCAGTTTGTGTCCCCCCATCAGAGATGCAGCTCCAGGGAAGGAGAAAAACACCATTAAATATTCTTGTAGGACTCAGCTTGGTAGCCCAGAGGGGACAGCTTTGCTCTGACACAGTGATGGGTTCTGCTGAGATCTCCTGCAGGGCTCCCATGTCATGCTAAGGGCCACATTTGTGTCCCCTCCACCCCTCCTCGGAGCTGGAGGAGCTGCATGGGAGCCAGAGAGATGCTCCCATACCACATGGGTAACACTGTACCCTGCAGAGGTGGTTGGAACACATCCCACGTCCCTGTGACATCCCACGTCAGGGGACACGTCCTCCCTAACCTGCAGGAAGGGGGACAGTGCATTACTACCTCCTCCCAGCAAATGTCCTGCTGCCCGGAGAGGACACAGCCCTGATGGGGGAACATGCATGAGGAGTCATCGCTGCTGGAGGGACAAGGCAAAGCGTCATTTCTCAGCACTGGCACTTTTCCACTCTGCAGCCCGCCGTGGAGATCCACGCTCCAAACACGGGCACACCGTTTGCACCGCGGTTGTGGCAGCAGCTCCGGGTGCTGTCACCCTCCCCGGGGTCACCGTGCACCCACCCACCCCATTGCACCCAGGGGTCTATCCCGGCACAGCCCCTCTGCAGCGGTGAGAAGTGCAGCGGCGGGCGCTGCGCCAGCCCGGCCGGGCTCTGCAAAGGCACCGTGGGTTCCTGCCAAGGAGAACTCCCTGTGCCGTGCGGGAACGGGTTGTTTCCTCCACGGGAACTGGTCAGTCTTGTTCCCCCGTGTCTCTCCCGTGTGTGAACACCCTGGCAGCAGGGTCATGGCTGAGGGATGTAGACTCGTTGAGTGCCAGATCCCTCAAACCACCCTAAATCCAGAGGCACCGCACCTACCCCTGCTCCCAAAGCACCCCACGAACGTTTAAACACACAAACCTCCTCGCTCAAACAAACTCTGGGAATGAGAGAAGCTCAAACTCCCCCACGCTGAGTTTGGTTCTCCCCGCTGTGGATCTGCTTTGCTCTCTGTGCCGGCAGCGGGGACATGCTCCCCGTTTTATCAGGGTTTATTGGCCCAGCTGCTTCGCAGGTGGAGAAGTTACAGCCTTTGTAACTTAATAAACATAATTCCCTGAATGCCAAGAAGGCCCTGAGCCGGGACCTGCGCTCTGCTGTGCTGGGCAGAGACCATGCGCACTTGGTGCATGCCAGAACCCCAGGTCCCATCCCCAGCAGCCCCAATGCAGGGTTCTGGGGAGGGGATGTGAACACCCCTGGCCCCAGCACTGCTCTGCAGCCCCCGGCAGGACCCTTCCCCTTTCCAAAGGCGGTGTTAACCCACACCGGTTGCTTGACAGAGCTCGACTTTAATAACAAACGGAGCCGTTTCGAGACAACCTGCAGCCCAGCGAGCTCCCGACCTGTCCCCTCTCCTCCCGCTGCCATCAGACACCAGATGGCAGCTCCCCGTCCGCCTGGACTTCAGAAGAGAATTAAATTTCTCTTGAATAGACCTGCGCTGCATAACACCGGCTTTTGTACCGAGCAGCGGCTTCTCCTTTAACGCTCACCAGCAGCACAGCTTCCCCCCGCCCCCCTC